GGAGCGGGCTGGCCCGGCGGCGCGGGGAGCCAGAGGCGCTGTCCAGGGCTGATCTGCAGCGAGGCAGCCCGGCGGGGCGGCCAGGCCCGGCCGGGGCGGGGGATCAGCACCAAGGCTAAGGGGCCGGGGCCTGCCTCGCGCGGGGCCCCTCCCGCGCTGCGCCCGGCGGAGCTGCTCGGGCCGCTGGTCCTGAAGCGGCCGGCGAGGCGGGCGGGGGTGCCCCGGAAGGGGCTCGGCGCCGCCGGGAGCCCCAGGCCGCGCGGCCCGGGAGGCTGGACAGCGATTTCCTGCCCGAGGCTGGGCCTGGGTCTCGGTGGCTGGCGGGGGCGGGGGTGACCTTGGGCCGGGGCGCGGGGAAGGCAGGGGCGGCTCGCTCCTGCGGGGCTGGGCGGGAGCAGGGGGCCGGGGCCCGCAGGGCGATCGCGCGAGGAAGGGGAAGCAGCCGCCGGACGCGGCGGGGGGGCAAGTTGTCCGCTCCCGGGCGCACGGCGGGGGCCGCTCGGGGCGGCGGCGGCGGCGGCGGCGGCGGGGTGAGCGGGGCCGGGGGGCGGGAGCGGCTTTGTGTTGGGTCTCGGAGAAAATGGCCGAATGCCTATTTGTGGAATGCAGCCGCCGCCGGTGCTGCTGGCACCGCCACACGCAGGAATCTGGTAGCGGGCGGCCCCCCCCGGCCCGGCCCGGCCCTGAGTGCGGAGCCCGGCGGCTCGGCCGGCTGCTGGGCCTGGCCCCGCGGAGGCGGACACGCCGGGCTCTGGAGAGCTGATCTGGGGCTCCAGATAGCGACTGCACTTCCCGGGGCTGGGGTGCGAGCGAGGGGAAATGTTGTGTAATGGGAGCACATTGCATCTGCTTTCATCGGTTGAGCAGACCCGACTTGGTTCTTGGAGAAACCAAATGGAGCTCGAACAGTCTGGGCTTCGCTCTGAACGTAAAGGCATTGGTTGCTTTGAAAAATGCAGCTTTTGATGTTGGCCCTCCAGCAGGATTCCTTAGTCAAAGTAGGCCGAATACGGAAAAGTTGGTGCTAGTAACGTTGCTTTTTAATATGGTGAACGTAACTTCTGTATTCTTCTCTCTTGGTCTGTAACCCAACAGAAATCACACTCATTCTCTCACAGTAATTGTTGTAGTCCCCTTTGATTAAAGAGGCCTTGAAGAAATTAACAAAACTGATTAACTTGTCAAGAGCTCTAGTCATCTGGAAGTTGTGATGAGTCTACACCAGATTCAATTAAATTGACCATTATCACAGTCCTCCACTTTGTAAGACATGGCTGCGTAGGTAATGGAGGCACAGCATGGCTTTTAAGTCGCCAAAGCTTTTGGATTCACAAGACAAGTGAAACTAGAAAGAGAGCTCTCTCCCAATTTCTGCAAACTTCACATAACTCTTCTAAAGTTCAGAAAGAAAGAGCTTTCAGATTTTTTTGTGAAAGCAGATGCAAAATGAGTCTCTTTGCAAAGAGGGTATCCTGTAAAGTATGGGAATACGTGACTTCCAGCTTTGAATGAGAGGGGGCAGGGGAAGGGATTCAGAAATGTATCTTTAGACATATTCTAAATTTAGTTCAACAATGAGTAATATTTTATAAAGCTAATGTGTCTGGTGATAGTGTAGAGTAATCAATAATTTGTTTTATATTATAGTTAAAGTAATTTTTTTAAAAGATAAAGATAAAATTTAAAGCAGATTTTTCAGAGGGTGAGTTCATACTTGTGAGCAAAAAGTAAAAGTCATTTTAAAGAAAAATGAATTAGTATTTGCTCAGTTCATAAAAGAAAATATTTATCTAATGTAAGGAAGAGATAACGCACCAGATCTTTTTGTTTTTATTCTCCTATTTGTATTTAATAATAATTGACCATCTTGGATAGATTTTCATAGGTTTCTGAAGTACACTCTTAGTTTTGGGTAGTAGAACATGGATGTTTTATATTTGTAATTGTTAGATTTTTACTAGTGCATTTTTTTTTATTTTTTTTTTTACTAGAATTGCTGTTATGGCAACTCAGGTGCTGGGGCAGTCTGGTGGGAACAGCCTATTTGCTGGCAATGCTAACATCAGTATGGCATTGTCTAACGACATGTATGATTTGCATGACCTTTCCAAAGCTGAGCTAGCAGCCCCTCAGCTTATTATGTTGGCAAATGTGGCCTTGACAGGAGAAGTTAATGGCAGCTGCTGTGATTACCTGGTTGGAGAAGAGAGGCAAATGGCTGAATTGACAACTGTAGGTGACAGCAACTTTTCAGACAGTGATGGAGAGGATATGGAAGATACACAGGGAGTGGACAGTGACCCTGATGAACCTGAAAACATGGAATTAGGGGCTCTTGAAATTCCTAGAGTGGAAACCCAGGGTCCAGCTGTTTGCCCTACTCCTGAGACTTGCAATCTGGACAAGGACCTCCCATTGGAAGCACCAGATACTCCTGAGAGTGTGGAGGACAAATCTAAAAGCTTGAAGAGCAAGCCATTTCGTTGCAAACCATGCCAGTATGAGGCAGAGTGTGAGGAAGAGTTTGTGCATCACATTAGGGTTCACAGTGCCAAAAAATTCATTGTAGAAGAAAATGCAGAGAAGCAAGTCCAGGTAAAAGAATCTGATTCTTGCACCACAGAAGAGGCAGATTTCTCTAAGGGGCCTATTCGTTGTGATCGTTGTGGCTATAACACTAACAGATATGATCACTATCTGGCTCACTTGAAACACCACAACAAAGCAGGAGAAAATGAGAGAGTCTACAAGTGCACCATATGCACTTATACTACAGTCAGTGAATATCATTGGAAGAAACATCTAAGAAATCATTTTCCTAGGAAGGTGTACACATGCTCCCAGTGCTCCTATTTTTCAGATAGGAAGAACAATTATATTCAACATATTCGAACTCATACAGGTAAGTCTTTCATCTGTATTTGAGTAGGAATAATATTGGTGATGGGGGGGAACTATACTAAGTATATAAAAGTGAGATTCTTGTATTTGCAAGATTTGCTCCACCCTGATAAGGCTCTCTGTTTGAGTGTTGTAGTCCTATAATATTACCAGGTTAGCTTCCAACTACATGGATGCCTATACTTGATATGAACTGCACTTTGTAGTCCTAAAGGATTGGGAAAACACATTGAGTGTCATGGGTCCAAGGGGAGATTAAGAGTATTGTATCCATTTTGCTCAGCCCAGCAGTCTAAAAACCACATTATCCTGAACAGAACATGAATAGAGTGGTTCATTACCTTTAGAATTTCTGGACCTGCAAAGTTCAGGCCAGCTGCCTTAAAAAACAACAACAAAATTGACATCAGACTAAGGGTAAAGTTTTCAAAGGGCCTGTGTGACTCAGTCAAAACTTGATCATTTTCACATTAAATTTCAATAATAGAAAACAAGGAATTCACATACACACACAGAAATGAAACTCCCCTACCCCCAAACCTTGAGCAACTACCAACCCTGCTGAGAGGTTAAGAGCAGAATCCACTATAACTACGTGAATCTTAATTGGCCAAGCTTGTACGACTTTCCACTCAACTTGATGGCATTTCTCTGTTTGGATATAATGTGGTAACTTTTGAACCCCATATCCAATTAATTCCAGTATTTCAGGGACTGTTCTCAGAATCAATGGGCAGAATCCTATTGATTTTGGGGAAAATTGGAAAACCATTGGGGTAAAATTGGGGACACACAGAAGACCTGCTGTCCTGTCTAGTGGTGCCACAGCTTCAGGAACCCCTGCAATTGTGTATAGCTCAAGATACTGGTTAATACCAGTTAACACTGGTTCTCAAACTTTTGTTGTGGTGGCCCCTTTCACACAGCAAGCCTCTGAGTATAACCCCCATTATAAATTAAAAACACTTTTTAAAATATTTAACACTATTATAAATGCTGGAGGTGAAGTGGTGTTTGGGGTGGAGGCTGACAGCTTGCGACTCCCCATGTAATAACCTCGTGACCCTCTGAGGGGTCATGACCCCCAGTTTGAGAACCCCTGAGTTGACACCTTGTGACATAACAATACCCCGATTTCATTCCTCTGCCCATTCTCCCAATAGATTTCAACATGTTGACACCCTGACTTCCTTACCTTCCAGACAGAAAGAAGAGAAGTAATAATGCGGGGGAAGGCACACAGAGCCGTGGCAGGGACAGGTGGGGAATGCTGCTATGGATGGAACGGGTGTACACAGAATCCTGGGTTGGGGGTGGGGAATAGGGGCGTCACACAAAACCCCTGATGGGGTGCAAGAATGGTATGGTATGGGGGGGACACAGAGTTATGGTATCAGGCAGGGAGTAAGTGGGTTGCAGAGAGTCCCTAACATAGATGGAAGGGTGGCCCACAGGGAGCTTGTGGGGGAATAGAGGGCTGCCAGGAGTCCCTGGTATGTACAAAGAGCTGGGCCTACTGAAGCTGTGACGTGTGCGACCCCTTAGTTACTGTATCTGGGGCTCAGAAGTTTCTACAGTCCCCATCACTGCAGTATCCAAGAGAAATAGGTACACCAGTTGTTAGCACGCAGGAGTCCCATGTGGGAGATTTTGAACCAGTTTCCAATCTGCTACTGAAGAAAAAAATTAGGGCCTCATTTTGCCTTGCACTGAGTGCGGTCCCAGGAATTTCTGTGAAGTGGCTCCAGGTGTAGGGCAGGACAGAACTTGGTCTAAATATTTTGCTATTTTAACAAGATATTCTTAAGCACGAGCAACCAGTTTCCAAATCTCTTACATAGGGCTCCTGTGCTGTCAGTGGCACAAGTGCTATTACCTTTTAGCAAAATGGCTGCCAGTGCCACCAGCGTTATGTTTAATCACAATTGGTGTTTGTCAGATTAACTCCTGGGATAAAATTCTTTCTCTGCTCCTGTGGCACAGAGGGGGATTCACATGTGGCTGGGTTAGTTGGCAGTGTGATCGCTCCTCCTGCGGGCAGCTTTAAATTCCAGCCAGTGGAGGTTACCTCAGGGAGAGAGACTCAATCATCACCTCTTCCAGTTGGCCTGGGCTGGCCCCCCTCCTTTTTCCTACTGTGCGGGCTGAGCTGGCTGAGCAAAGTGCATAGAGAATTTCTCCTTGTGTTTCTGACCCGAGTAAAATGGTTTTAGTGGCTTCATCTTAATCTCCTACACAGTTCTTCACAGTTTGAAATCTCTGTTTAGAAGTCCATGACTGGAGTCATGAGATTTGCAGGTAAAGACTGAGGTACAGTGGTGAAGCTACATGGAGAAGCTTGTACGGTGCCAGCCTGCATTAGTCTGTGCCCTTAGTTTCTTATCTATGTTAAAATGTACTCATATCTGCCAAATAGAAGTATCTTGTTTAGAGGACATCATCAGCTTAAAAAAAAATCACACTTCTTTCTGAAAATACTTCAATTACTCTTTTTAAAATCACACCTAAGATCATTAGAGAGACAGTGTGGGTGACGTACTAATTTCTTTTATTGGACCAACTTCTGTTAGTGAGAGAGACAAGCTTTCATGCTCTCTCACCAACAGAAGTTGGTCCAATAAAATATATTATCTCCCACACCTTGTCTCTCTAATATCCTGGGACCAACATGGCTACAACACTACTGCATACATACCTAAGATGGTTGTAACTGAAAGAGATTAGGAAAAAAACAATATGTTCCCGTCTTCCAGTTTATTTTGTGCATTTGACAGCACTTTGTGTATGGTCAGTTTCACCATTTTCCCTGTAGTTAGTCAGTTTTTGCTTTTGTTGGTGTGGATCTTTCAAAGATCATTAGGAGAGGGAAAACTTTTTTTTTTAGAAATTAGAAAATATGATTGTAAAATCACTAAAAGAGGCAATGGGGCTATAGATCAAGTGGAATTCCCTGAAACTACTTTCAATTCATTTGTAAAAATTGTTTTGATTTCTGGTTACCGATGACTCTTTAAAGTTTCCCCACTTTTGTTTGGCT